ATGATCCTTCAAATTCGAAATCGTATTCGGCTTTCCCAACAAGGTTGAAAACCTCGTTGACTACGCGCTCTTGCTCAATCAGGGACGGATTCACTGGGGCTCCTCCTTGACCATGGTCCACGGACCCTGTGGTTCTTGCTTCATGGAAGCTTGACTCTCGAGGTGCTGCGTGATGGAGGACAGCGCCTGCTCGATGCGGGTCATCCTCAGATCTTGACGCGCAAGAATCTCCTCGAGGTGGTGTTCCTCTGCATCCCAGGGATCGGAGGTCACTGGCTGGGCCATTGTCAATGGACTTGATGTCTGCGCAGAAGGGCATAGATTGGGATTCATCTTCTTCGGCATTGCGCTTCCCTTCGAGGACTGATTGTCTTCCACTTTGAGGGACACATAGCGGAGGAACTGTCGATGTTCCAGCTTGGGACTGTTCTCGTATGTCTTGACGAACCATTTTGTCCAGCTTTGATCCATGAGGACTTCCTCGAAGGTTTGTCCCACCTTGGCTTTGCCAAAGGCAATTGGCATCGCGTTGAGACGGCTGAGAGGAATGCTGTCGAGCAAATCGAGTTCCTCGTGTTGGTGTTCCTTCTTGACTTCGTCTTGGAACATTTCGAGTTTCTTGCTCAGACTGGACATGGTGATCACCGGAACGATCGAGAGGGCAAATCCGTGCCGGAGTGCTTCGCCATTCTATTCGAATCGATCGGAGGTCGGAATGGCTCGTCGATCGGCTTATGCGACTCAAATGGCCTTTTATCCGACTGTTCTACTTTGATTTGGTTGGTCTCAATTAACAGCGACTCTGACTGCTGGCTTGCGAAACGACGTTCCGTTTCGTTCACGGACGTTTTGGCGGCGCTCTGCGGGCTCTGACTCAAATCTTTGAGTTGGTTCGAATTGATCAGATCAGATCCCTGTACCTGCACGGTGTCTTGGACAGCGAGAACGTCCTGAAGCCACAGTTGATTCAAGTCTAATAGCATAAGGTTTGATGCATATGTGGTCGTTTCTAGATACCGTCCAAGGGTTTTGCTCCAGAGAGTGCTTTCATCAGTATCTATAGAACTGCTTTGATGGTTCGATCAAAAGCACTTGATAGCAAAAAAGGGGTTTTCCCCGGGACGATCGCGATGCGGAACCAAGTTTCGCGCACAGGCAAAACGACGGCCATCTGGCTGGTCAGTGTTTGGCGGTTTCCAAAACGAAATACCAACTTGCAAGGAGTCTTCTTCACTTGTTTTCGAACATGTTCTGGTAGATTGGCTAGTAGTTCAGGTACCTGGTTACTTCCAATAACCGTTTGTGAAGCTCCGAGGTCTACCACCCCGATGGAACCACTGGATGCGAAGCATGTTGTTGCTTCTTGGGCTGACCATTCTGTGATGCAAGGCAAAATGTTTCTGCACCGTTCGAAGGATCGGCAGGGACTTCTGGAATGTCTTTGAGGCACGATTCGAGGTCGATCGCGAACGACGTGGGCACCTGATTCGTTTCCGAAGCATTTGATGACTTTCGAGATGGGCACTCTGCCTTCCAGTGACCAGTCTGGCCGCACAAACAGCATGCTGAGTTCGCGATTCGGTGGGCAAGTCCTTTGGATTTTCCTTTCCCACCTTTGCCCTTTCCTTTCTTTCCCGGTCCCTTGAAGGTTTTGACCGGCCAAAACCCACGTGAGCGAGACTTCTCCAGCAAGCGCCGACGGGCATCTTGGTAGCTCACGCAGAATGTAGCTAGTTCTCGATCCTCCTGCACTGTGTCCATGAGGGCATTCTCAAATTGGAGGACCATGGAAGCATCATCATCTTCCGCTGCGAGGGCTTCCAGCGATTCCTCCTCCATTTGATCTTCACCTTCCCATAGATGATCTTCTCCATATTCTTCGGCTTCCTCCACTCCGAAGGCTATGTGGTCATAGGTTTTGAGGGCCTTGTCACGCTTCCCGGACGTGTATTCCTGAAAAAATCCGGATAGCTGCAGCAACTCGTTTCATCTCGAGTTCACTTCCAGCCTTTTCCGCTCCGGATTCGACAAGGACTCTCTTCTTATCTTCCATACTGAGTCGGGAGCCTCGGAGGATGATGTACGCTTGTACCTCGGACATGTTGATCTTCTTCATCAACATCTCAGTCCAAACCACCTCAAACCGAGCAATGTAAGAATCGGCGCTTTCGTCGGGCTTTTGGGCACACCTGAACAGTGCTTTCTCAACTATATCGAATTTCTGTTCCAGATTCACCTGGCCAAATTGGCCGCCAACAATCTCTACGATCTTGGAGATGCTCTCAACTGTTCCAACCAAAAGTTCCTTCTGTTGTAACTGGAGTTTGGCGAAGGCTGAACCTTTGCAATTCAATATGATTCGTGTTGCAAGCTCTGCCAACTTCCCTTCCGGCCAGACTTTCGTGAGGAGCTCAATCTTTTGAGACCCTTGCTCAACGCTGTCGGTGGCTGGATCAAACGTTGGAATCAGCGATGATAGCTGATTTCTTGCGGAGGATGTACCACTTTCCAATGTTGCTGAACTCGTGGACTCCGGCATGATCACACCTGTTCGACAACAATGCTCTGATCTGGACTTCCCTGTCTGATCGCCCAGGTAGCTCCGCGACCAATCTCGAATCCACCAGGATTCGGATTGGCAACAGAGACCGTCCGGTGATGGGCCCACAGAAATACAATGCAGTTTCCCTGAAACTTGTGAATTCCTAATGCTACCTGAAGGTCCTACCTTCTCCAATTCAAAGTGCCCTGCACCTTCCCTCCGCAGCCTTTTTCCTGCACGACGCCCTGCGTCTCAAGACCGTCCGTGGTCAACGATGGCTCGAACTGCAAACCACCCTCCCTCCCTTGGGGTGAACACGCAAATGGCCGCAGTGGAACGAAGGGCTCGAAACATGTGACATGCAGAACTCTGGTCGTTTGACAAGATATAGATATGATATGTGTGAACCATTTTGGATAGAGATCAATGTACAGTAGTTTGACATCACTTGCATCACAGCGTGCATATGCAGCCCCTTTGCATATCAATCAAAAGTCAATATGGTAGCGGAGCTGAGAAGGAGGTAGCCCCTCTGGAGCTCTGAGGATGAAAGCCCCTAGGTCGCTGGGATCCCGGGTGCGATTTCGAGCCATAGAGCTGGTGCCTTTGGAGCCCAAGCAGCTGCACTGGTGAAGACTTGTTGTGAGCAACACTCTGTACCCAGTACATTGTGTCAAAGAGACATTAGTACAAAGAGGAGATGGATGAGATCAAGGAAATCCTTTATAGTACGCTGGCAACAACCAAGAAGTCCTCAACAACAGACGGGTCAAAATTGATAGCAGAGCCCAACATCTTTGACTATAAGTCACAAGATGAAGAGATTAAGGCATTCAGAGAGTGGTCATAGATCTTCGAGAAGTATTTGAGTGCAGTTGATGAGGGCTACATGAAGGACCTGAAGGAAATTCGTGATAAGCCAAATGAGAAATTTGACATGGACTTGGCAACTGACTCAGAGAAGACCAGGTGCATCAAGCTCTATGGATTGTCAGCTTCATTGATGAGAGGTAGGGCGCTACAACTGGTGAAAGTTGTGGGCTTTGGTGCCTGGAGGATTTTGAACAAAGATTGGAAGCCAACTTCACAAGGCAAGAGGCTTGGCGCTTGGCACCCTTGGGAGCCACTACATGGCCAGCGTTTTCAATGAACAGTGCATTGCAACCTCAACTCTTGAAGCTTGAAGAAGTATTTGATGAGACTGTCAAGGCAGGAACTACAAGTCAAGAAGAGTTGAAATCTGCTATTCTTTTGAGATGTGTATGTGGACAACTCAAATCCTACTTGAACTTGACAATTGGTGACAATGTTCAATACTCAGCTTTGAGGGAACATGTAATGCAATGGGATAGACCTCGGCAGAAGTGGGCTACTGCCATGGTGGCTAGTAGCCCATGCCAATGGATGTTGATAGGATCCAGGATGCCAGAGGAAAAGGTAAGAAGGGTAAGAAAGACCACCAGAAAGGCAAAGGTAAAGATGCCAAGGGCAAAGGAAAGAAAGGAAAAGGAGATCAGACATGAAAAGAAGGTGATTAAAGACCAAAAAGGCAAACGTGTGGCAACATTTTACAATTGCGGAAAGCCAGGACATCTTGCAAAAGATTATTGGAGGATCATTAGGAGGAGCATCGAGCTCAGCAGACGCCAAACCAGTGGCCAGAAGAATTGAGAACAGTGAGCCAATCATCTTTGACTTGAGAGAAAGAGATGATGAGCTAGAAGATCAGGGAATCAGAGTAATTCGCTTTTACATTGGAGATGATGAAGACGAGCCAGTGATTCAGGAAGTTGAAGAATTGACATTTCAGATGATGAATCCATAGTGAGGAGACTTGGGGAAGAGAACGAGGATGTGGCTATCATTATTGACAGTGGAGCTGATGTGGCTTTTTCCCTTTGAGCGTGGCAGATCATGGGGAAGGAGAATTACAAGTCAGCGCAAAGACTTGGTTAGCTTCCCTCTCTTCCTGCCATCTGCTTGAAGCGGGGGCGGCGCTGTGGCGGTGCGGCCGACTGGAGTGACGCTGCAAAGCCGGTCCCAAGCCCGGGACTCTTCGCCTTTGATCTGATCTACCTCTAAATTCTTGGCGAGGAGCGGCGCGAGGGTGCCGTGAGAGCATGCTCACTAGTGTTTCTTGGTCTTGATCCTTTTTTGCGGAGATAGTGGGACACTGGCCAACCATGCAAGTGGCCACCATCCGAAAAAGCAATTCAACAAGAGCTAGTGGCTGTGCCTGGTTTAGGGGTCGGTTTCACAGCCCAGAGTTTGGGACTTCCAGATCTTGGCAATTCTCCTGTTGGTTCCGCCCCAAAAGCTGGGGGGTAAGATCACCAAGGTGGCCGGCGTCATCGGCGTCAGCCCCAGGTCTTGTGCCACCGCGTTGGCTGTTCAATTTGTTCGACGGCAAGGAGACACGCGTAGACGGCGTAGACTTGACTTCGTTTTTTTCAATGGAATGTACGGGGTCTTTCAGGTCCGAAATTCGACACTCTGAGGAGTGATGTGACTCCTCTTCCCCTTCAGATTGTTGCAGTGATACTGGCCACAGGATTGTGAGTGGTCTCACAACCATGGGTGCTACCCCCATAGTAGTGGCCTTGCTTCTCGTAGTGCTGGAGCCTTGATCATGATACTAAAAACAGTAGCGCCCATTTCCCACTTGTCCTGGCGCTCCCCTTTGCCAGGTACACGCGCGCCTGTATTTCGAGACCAGACTTGGTCCTGTGCCACCAGCGCAGCCGGACTTGGACCAAGGCGGAGCTTTGATGCACTTCAGCGGGGATTGCCTCCAGGAATACCTCGCCGTGCCTTGTGGAGTCTTAATTTGTTCGCTTCCTCGAATCGCCGGCAGTGTGACCACAGATGTTTTCGATCCCAAACTGGCAAATTTGTGAAGGGCCGGGTTCTAAGCGTGGTGATGCCTCGAGTTTTGTGGACCTCGTGAAACGCAACAAACTCGTTGCCTTGAATGGCAATTGTCCTGAGTATAGGCGCCACGCACTTCCACGCGAAGATTGAACCCAGGATTGATTATGTTTTATGGCCCATTGCCTGTGACTCTCAAGCCTTGCGTGTCATATAAGGATAACCCTCTCCCTGCCAATCATGTGTCATTTCACGTTCTCATATTCGGATCCATCCCGGTGCACGGGCTTCGAACCTTTCGACGTGCGCCAGTGAGTTTGAGTTGTTGAGGATGCCGCGCAAGCCGCTGCTCATCATGATTCAAGCGGGTAAATGGATCCACTTCAGAAGCCCATCCAGTGATTTGCTTCATCCACTGCAAGCCCATGCCTCGTTGGTCAACGTCCGTTCTGCCCTGTCCGAACCCGAGGTCCATGCCGTCTGATTTTGAATCTCTGGAACGCGCAATTGCCACACTCCCCATTGCTAAGGCTGTTGGCGCACCGTTTGCCCCAGCCATCTGCCTTCGAGAGCATGCGCCTCAAGATTTTTCTTCGGCAAAGTTTAGAGACACGGTGGAATCAGTCACCTCCGTACATTCCTCCTAGTTGGAAATTTGGAAACGAGACTGGGTGGTTTCAGTGAAGCTCTTCTTCTGCTTCTTCTTCTTCTTGGTCGTCGCTGCAAACGGGTTCGTGCCTCACTTGCCACATGCAGACGCGCGCCACACACGCTTGCCGCTGGCGCTCACGAACCTGAATTAGTGGGAGGTATGCAACTTCTGATTGATGTGAGCCGTGCGCTTGACTCTGTACCCAGGCCCACCTGATCAGCAGCCTTGTACGCCTGAACCTGACTGAAGATCTAATTGATCTCCTTTTGTTTGTGCGTGAACAAACCTCATATGTTGTTGAACACGGTCGCGTGCCCACTGATGTTGAAATGAGCCCTGGAATCTGTCAGGGCTGCAAAGCAGCCCCTTGTCCCTGGAAGATTTTGTAAATGTTTGTGCTGATGACTGTCATTGTGCTTCAGAGTTCGCCGGCCTTGCCATTTTTCGAGATGCAGCTTTCCTTCTTCGGGAAGTTTTTTGGGCTATAGGGATCTGAGTGTCAACAGTGAGAAGGTTGCTTTGATTCTCACCACGCGTGGTCCCCAACATGCCCAACTGTGGAGCCGCCATTGTGTCAAGAGACGTGATGGCCGGTGCGTGAGTGTCCCGGGACAAAATCAAGCTCCATCCTGTGTGAAGGTTGTTATACGTGCTCCCTATAGTGCATCATTGTGACATACCATGATTTTGAAGATCGTGCGCTTAAGAAGCGCACGCGCCTCTTTGTGGTGCACTTTTAGACGCCTTCGAGCCTGGTTGAGCAGCTCACGCCACATTCCCAAAACGCAGTCTTTCACTTTGATCGAGCCCATACAGGACTCACGCCGGGATCTAACACCATCGTGCCGCTTAATGCCTTCGTGTGGTTCGCAATCAAGTCGTCGCTCCGCGCCCGGGTCTCCGTATACCATGACGATCAAACGAGTTGGTCTCCCTGCTGGGCACTCGGCACCTTCAAGACGGGGGACATTACCCAGCCTCTTGTGGAACGAGTCCTGGAGAGCTTCTTTGTGGCCAAGAGCCAGGCCCAGCAGGAGGCCTTGCTGCACCAGCTCCACATCTCTACCGCCAACCAACGCAAGGGCAATCGGGGCATGAAGTTCTTGCGCGCCCTGCGTGGGGCCATCGACTATAAGCTCTTCTGCCCGGATTGCGACGCTGCCCGGTCTGGGCAATGGAAGCAGTGCCCGATTTGCCGATCCACGGCGGGGCCCTTGCCTGTGTCTCTTCACGGTTGAGGGGCACCAGATCACGGTGGCGCACGCTGATGAATTAGGTGTTTCACGAACTCTATCCTGCCACTCAACCATCATAGGTGTGAGCGGGGACAGGTGCTGTGGGCCCTGAAATCCCTGTGAGCACGGGATGGTTGTGTGGCAGTTATTTCTTTGGCCTTTTCTTTAACTTTCACTTCAACGACACCTATGGACCCGTTTTCCAGCAGGGTGCCTGGTGTCTGCTAGTCAACTGAGATCGGTGGCGGTTTTGGGTACCATCCCAGTCTGACCCCTGTGTGTGTCAATCAGGACCATGGAACGAAAAGCCAACCAAGCTGCAAAAGGGAGCGCTGCTGCTTTTGCTGCTTTAGCGTTGGCTTTTGGTCTTGATGTTTCATGAAACATATATATATATATATTATATATATATAAGCATGCACACATATGGACGGCTGATTCCAGACCCTCAGCTACGCTCACTTCATGCTTGCCAGGTGGACTTGGATGGCACTTCAGGGCGACTGAACATCTCCAAGACATTGCCGGGGCACAGAGAAGAAGTGGTCTGGGCGACAGTGGATTGGGGTGACTACACACGCCCTTATTTCAAGGCTGCAACAATTTCAATGCAGCAGGACGTTTTGTTTTGGGACGTGCCCTGGTATAAATTATTGAAGGATGGCCAAAGTTTGAAAAAGACACAAGCGTTGGAAGACGTGCAGGAAGCGTTTTGGGAGCCCAAATGTCTTCCCAAAGGCTTCGCGTATCGAACCCGCATAGCTGCATACCGCAGTGACGCTCCATATAGAGAAGTCTGCGCATTAACTGGTTCTCTACATGGTATGATCCATTCCTGGGAAATGCATGAGAACAATAAGGAGACTTTAGTTGAATCAAAATGGAAATTGGAAGGCCATACAGATCAAATTTCTACACTTGCAGTTGATTGGCAGAATGGCTATGCTTTGAGCGGATCCTGCGATGGAACTTTGCGGCTTTGGAATCTTAATTGCCAACTGTGTGAGAGAGTCCTCCGATACACTGATTCGAAGAAGATATTCTCGGGCTTTGTCAAAACTATGGTTGTTGACTGGGTTTCCCAGCGAGCAATCAGCACTGCGGGTGACGTCAGAGTATGGGATCTGAGACTTGACAACCCAATAGCCTTGTTGAAATCAGTCCCTGGCGGCCATTCCATCACAGAAACTTTGGTTTCATTCTCGACTGAATCGGCTGCCTTCATTGGGAGTGGAACAGCAGAATTTTGGGACCTCAGGAGTGAGGTTTGCGTGGCCAAGTTCCATGGCCAGCCAGGCACGGTGTATCACTTGCATTTTGGTGTTCCAGAAGCACCTGAGGAAGCAGCGCAAGTGCCGGGGCCACACGAAGTTTCTTCCATTCATCGTAGAGAAGATACTTTCGAAGTGGGCTTTAAGTGGCCAATTTCTCTGGCAAATTGTGGAATTCCTATAGCCAGTTCCTGTGGAGATGGTTGGTTTCGTTCCACTTTCTGAACAACAAGCGTACGGTCATCCTTGTTGCTTTGATTCAGCTATACAGCCGCTCAATGCTGGAAAAAGGATTGTAAAGGAACATGAAGGTGTAGGCAAAGTCTTGAAGGTTGCACAATGCAACCGAGGAAAAGCCGAGACAAGAGCACCAGCGAGAGAGCTGGAAAGCGTCAGCGTGGGAAAGGAGGAAGGTGCACTTTCAGTGGTAGTGTTTGTGCGGCCCAACATGACACGTTGAGAGTACTTGCCGGAGAATGTCTTTTCTCTATGATAAGACGCTAGAGTCCAGCGGTTTTATTTGTGAAAATAGAGTGCAGGCCACACAACCTGGATGAAGCCAGAGCGGTGCTTGCGGTAGAAATGAAGCCAGCTCTTCGAATCTTTGCATTTACCCTGTGTAATCTTGCAAGCATTGTTTATCTGACAAACAATCCACAAGCATTGACAAAGCTACAGAGTCTGATTATCCAAAGTGTGTGGGCGGTTGTGATCACTTCAACGGTGTGCTGGGAAAGGCTGAAAGGATGAGCAAGTGAGACAGCAACGGGAAGCAACTGTGCAAAGTGGTCAGACAAGCATTGCTTGCCTTGGAATGTCTTGCTGATCGTGATCCACATTGGTCGCATGAGAGTGGACAGTGGAGAAGTGTCGTGAGAAATGTGCATTGTGTTATTTTGCACCTCTGGTCTTTCGATTTGCTCGTTTGTTTAGCTTTCTTTTCTCATGTTTGACACATGCTCCCATGTTCTACTACGCTGCTTTGCATCACCTCCTCTGTCCGTCCCGCTTTTGTGGCCATTGAGAAGGGTCAAGCGAGACAATCTGTGTTTTAGCTCACCTACTGCCATGGGTTGTGGAGGATCAACTGTATGGGGCTCAGTGCCACAGTGATTTGTGTAGACAGGTGCACACTGAGTCCTTCTTTTGAGGCCAAGCCCTACATTCCGCACGAAGATGCACCTGATCCAACTGCCCCAAATGCAGGCAAGCAGCATGATGTGAAGGTCGATGGCGGCGCGGCATTCACTATCTCGCAGCACGCTGGGCGTGTACATGAAGGCGCCCTGGAGAGCCCGTAACTTTCTACCTAAGAACAGTTAGGAATTAAGAACAGCTTGTTACTTTTCTTCGCTTACGCCGTCTTACGCCGAATTCTTCTGACCTTCCAGTCCTGTAAAAAACCTGCGATACCACGCCCTGAGGTGATCCTGTCCGCCTGAAGGGGCAAGGATTTTTACCCTTTGTGCGCTTCGACACTTCAGCAGTTCCACCTCAGATCAAAGGTGGGGATCATATCTACTTGGTTTTCACATACTCTGAAGTGGCCATTGAGGGACGAGGCGATGCCATTGTGGGTGAAGGGACTGAGCTGAAAAGCTCTTGTCTATTCCGAGCTTGGAGAAAGGATGGTACAAACACGGTCTTTCAAGACGGAGACGATGTCTTCTTCGAACATGTCGACAGCGGAAAATACCTCGAAGCAGCCACGGACACAAAGCCTTTGAGCTTAGCAGACAAAGATGAGAATTCTGCTGGCCAACTCTTTGGTTTTTTCAAGCAGGGCAGGCCTATGGAAATGAAGCACCGTGACACTGTGTACCTTCAGACTTGGTTACATCACTACATCGAGTACAGGCAGGGTGAGGCTTCAACTTTTCGTTAGCTGCATGGGGAATTCCCAGTGCAAGAGGAGGAGCAAACAAAACCAAATTAGGGGAGAACTTGATGGTCTAAAACTCAATTGAGCAACTATTCAATATTCAGGACATGCATGACTTTACAGAAGTTTCAGTAGAGAAGGCAGAAGAAATCAACACACAGTGAGCAAGATATAGGTCTGGGTCTGGGCAAACATTCATCTGCAGAAAACAACATGAGACGAGCGAGCGAGGGAGGGAGGGAGGGAGGGCGGGCGAGAGAGAGAGAGAGAGAGAGAGAAATATATATATATACTTAAGTGCCTATAGTCGCACTCGGCTGCACTCTTTTGCCGTGTTTGGCACTTGAAGTCGTCTTCAGGCCTTTGACCTCTCTGGTCTCTATGGCCTTCAGCCACTTCCCCCATGCGCAGCGGTGCTCATCCATCTGACTTTCGTCAGGTATAGTGGACGTGTTGGTCCACTCGTGCCATCTTGCCGGACAAGCCGGCCAGGACGTCTCCGGAGTCGTGCAGATAGCGTTGCACTGCCGATGATGTCCACCGGCCTGTTCTCTTCACTACCTCGATCTCGCCGGTGGCCTGGTAGAGGGCGGAAGCTCCGCAGATGTGCAAACGAGTGCGACTGAAACCGCTCAGCCGGCAGTCCCAAAGCACGAGCCGCCTTCTGCAGGACATTCTGGATCTCAAGTCTTCGAATGACTTGTCCCGAGGACCACCGGAACAGAGGTAGGTGGCATTCAGGGCCTCTTCCAAGCGTCTTGGCGCGACCTCTTTCAAGCGCTCAAGCGCAGTGACCACACACACACACACATGCTGAACTCCAGTCCTCAGCATGGTTTTGCATGTTCCGAAGGCCTCTTGGTCGGCTTTTGTCTTCCGGAACTGAATGGTGGCTTCTTGGGGGTCCTTTTCATCAGCTTGGCCTTTGGTGGTTAAGGCCACGTCTTGTCCACGTAGGATCATTGCTTCATCAACTCCTCCTGAATCTCCGAACTCCCCAGTCCGCATCATGAAGAACCATCCGGTGAGGAGCGCTGCCTGGATCATCCTGCAGTCAACCTTCAACTCCGCAAAGGCTTCTGCTCCTTTCTCCAAGTGGTCCCCAATCCTTCTTCTTCATGAGCTCCTCGGCCTCCTGGTCCCCGAGGCAGGTTAAGGCGTCAGCATCCTCATTGTGAAAGGTTCTCCACCAGCCTCCAAGCACCCTGCATCGGGAGAGAGGGAGAGAGGGAGAGAGGGAGAGAGGGAGAGAGGGAGAGAGG